TTCCGTAGTGAAAACCCATCGTCCTCAAATCCAGCTTGGTCAAGTTGTACACTTTGTACATCGCTTAGTTTGGTCTGTTGCTATTTTGTTTAGACTTTTTTACCTCCAATTTCATTCGGAGGTTTGAGATAGACCTATAACCCTACAAAAAGGAAGAGGCATCAATAGGAAGCTCTGGAAATAAAGGACCATCAGAAGGTTGAGATCTAATCGGTTCTCCTTGCATACAATGTGGCATGCATTTCCTGACAAGGCAGTGAAAAATACAAAACTGTATTAACCACAATTTCACACATTCAACCCTTCAAACCAATATTGTGATTGTTATCTTGGATTGTAAGCAGGCAGTGTTCCTGACTACTCTTAGAGCCAAACAAACAAACTGGATCAGACAAACAAAACACTGCGAGATTATAGTCTCTCCGTATTTTGGCTGGACGATTGCCTTGCCTGACTTAATTCTTTGTGCTTCTTTCACAAAGCGATGACAGTCGCTGAAGCGTTCTATGCTTGAAGCATTTTCAGGGATAGAGTTATGAACGAATGAACGCATGCTTTATCTCTGCCGTTTGAGATCAGGGCCGTGGAGTAAGTAGCAGCCACCTGTGTGAAGGAGAGTATGTTGCCTGAATACCGAAAGCAAAGACCCAACTGGGTCTGACAAAAAGAGACCCACTTGGTCAACTTATTGTAGAGGTCTACAGGCACAGGTCCTTTGTTTTCCTTTTTATAGTTAGAGAGCACATGTGCTCACCAGAGAGAAGCAGAGGGACGCAGGGAGAAACACCTCCCAATGGGGTGTAATTGCCTCGCAATCCCTTTCCCTCCACGTCTCCATCCTGTCAAGAGTTGGCACGCACATGCACCTGACACGTTTTTCAAGTCATTGGAGCCAGTAATTGGCCATGTTGGGTCTGGCTCTTAGGACACAGGGCCGGCCCCCAAGCATTTTCTAAAAAAGTTTTATTTTATTTCTTTCAGGAGAGAGAGTATGTGCACATGAGGGAGAGAAAGGGGGAGAAGGACACTCCCTAACAAGGTCTGGTCACACCACCATGCTCTTCCTCCAGCCCTCCAGCTAGTCAGGATCTTGGGTGTGTGTGTGTTTCCAGCCTGTTTCAGTCCACCTGGGATCTGAACCCACAGTTGGCCATGTGGCGTCCAGCACTGCAAATCAGTACACTTCTCACCTGTGCCACCAATGCTGGTCTTGGCATGAGCACTTTTACTGTGAGAGTCAGGCTACCCCAAGAAGGCAAAGGAGAGGTGGAGCCCATTCCTCTGTTTATCGTGGCTTAATGGACGGCAAATGATAAACTCTCCCCAACTCGCCAATCATAGAAGTTTCTCTTTCTCCAATCTGTAGCAGCAAGCAAGGGGTAAAGAGGAATTGGAATGATTCCTTCTACTACCGGAAATACCTTGTGGAAACATGAGGGAGGTAGGTAAGAATGCCCCCACATACAAATGATTCCTGTTACACTTTAGATGCAGCTACAGAATGGCTATGTACTTCTTTCTTTTTTATTTTTTGGAGAGGTTTTTGCTATAGGATGCATGCGGTCGCAAGAATGGCTATGTACTTCTTTCCATTCCTGCTTCCTGACCCCTGGATCCAGTCCCTTTCGGTGACAATTTCATCTCTTGGAAATATCTGCCAGCAGATGGCATAGTGGTTACATCACTGGACCCAGTAGCCTGAAAATCATGCCAGGTATGTGTACATGTATGCTCGAGACCTTAGGAGGAGAGTGGAGGAGAAGAGATTCAGCATCAGCATCTCCTCTGTGAGGTGAGTTCTCACTGTCTCTCTCACTGTCTCTCTCACTGTCTCTCTCTCCCCCTCTCTCCCTCTCTCCTGTGATCACACACACTCTAAGGCAAAAACCTCTAAAAAAAAAAAGAATAGGGACCAGCAAATGGTGTAATAGTTACATTACTGGCCTCCCATGTAGTTGACCACAGTTCAAGTCCCAGATCCAGAGCCTTGAAACTCATTCTGGGCATGTGTGCGTGCATGGTCAAAATCCCGAGAGGAGAATGGAGGAGAAGGGGTTCGGCATGGCCAGCCCCCCAGAGGGTGATTTCTCGCTTTCTGTCTCTCGGTCTTTCTCTGTCTCTCTGGTAAATGCACATGCCCTATAGCAAGAATCTCTGTAATATATATATCATATATATGTAATGCTGGTACTTGAATTCATACCTGGGTAATTCCTCTCACCAACCTCATTCATATTTTGACGAAGTTTGAGGGAAAACCCCAGCTCCTTTATGAGAGTTTTGCATGTGATAAGCCAAAGATAGTGGTGAGCTGACGTTGAACTCAGGAACTCAGGGTTGACAGGTATACTTTCCACAACGGTGGAAAGTATGATACCTGCCCCATTGGCGGTGGGGAGGGGGTGAGGAAAGCTGCATTCCCTGCCCGAGCTCAGCTAAGCAAGACCTAAAGGACTAAGGTAGAACTTCTAGGTTGGCCCAGAGTTACAGCACAGCACCTGGGATGGAGGGGTACCAGGTAGTTGAGTACGGGATGATGGAAAGAAAGACAGGGGTACTGGCTGACTTTCATCCACCACATTCCCCGAACTCAACACAGCTAAGCTCTTGCTAAAGTGCTATTGGGTCATCGGAAAAGTCATGATGTATTTCTCTATGTTTTTATGCAAAAATGTCTTCTCCGGTTACTCAATAGTTTTACTAAGCAACTAGACTTGAGTAGAAGCAAATCTAATCAAACAAGGTTCTTCTGGGGCTGCATTATAAGAACGACCATGCAGAGTTTTTGTAAAACCTAATTACATAAAAGACATTCAATATATAGAAATTATTGCATTTGTCTCTGTTAGGCCGGAGGCCTGGGCAGCTTGGATGTGGAGGTTGGATGCTATGCCCTAGTCGGCTGATACAACCCAGATCTAGCCTGTGATCAGACCTGCGCTGCACTGGGATCTCACCTGGATGTAGCACACGGCGCTCTACTGTGCACACGGCGCTCTACTCTGCACACGACACCAGACCTTATGTGGCACAGCAGTCTGCTCTCCCCCTAAACCTTTACCATGGGCTGTTTCTACCTCTAAGACACTCCCCCCTCTACACTCTTATAAAAAAAATCCCTAAACTCCGCCCCCACACTCCGACTTCTCTGTCCTGTCTCCCTTCCTCTCTCTCCCTTTCTGTTGCACCAGTGAACCTTGCCGCCCAGAGCACTCCCAATAAAGCCTCTGCATTTCTATTTTCTCATGTGGTTGGCCCATTCCTTACAGTCTCAATTCTTTTAGTTATGCCAGAAACTTAATTTAAGCCTAACGGGGGTTCTAATGAATTACGCAGCTATTGTTTCTAGGAGTGTACTTGGTTTCAAACATAGCTGGATCCAGGAAAACAGATAATTTTATCAGAATTCTATATCCTGTTGATGGAAGATAGCCAACTCTAAAAAAATGAATAATAATTAATGCAATTTCTTTCTTTCTTTTTTTTTGGAGAGGTTTTCACTATAGGGCGCGTGCGCTCGCCAGACAGACAGAGAGAGACATAGAGACAGAAAGCGAGAAATCACCCCCCAGGG